AAAAAGAGAGGTTACCAAGTGGTACTGACAGAGTTCAGTTATTAACTAGATTTAACTATAGCAAATAAAGAAACATACATCAGATTGACCTATCGTTCCGGTTACAAATGAACGAACCCTAATATTTCTAGACATGGGACTTAATTGTCAATAATAACTTCCCTTACTAGGTTCAAGGGTCACTTCGAGTTAAGCGAAGAAGAGCCAGGAAACCTCGTAAGCTCTCTGCTAAACAAGAAGTTGTCTCGGCACCGGAAACAAGCCAAGTGTCGTTACTTGGCAAACCGTCTGACGGTTGTGCGAAGGCGAAGGTCCCAACACGCACTACTTGTCAGCCGAAGTTGTCGGAAAACTTGATTCTCACCGAGAAGACATATTCTGAAGGTGTGCTTGATTCTGCTCAAAGTAAAGAAGCCTCACGGGACCCTGCTCCAGTTATCAAGAAGCAAAAGCAGACAAAATCTGCTATAAAACCTTCCGGTGAAATCGAAGACCCTAACAAAAGTAAGACATCGACAATGGACCGAAAAACATACGCTGCCGTTGCTACATCATCGGAGGGGCTAAAGACAATCCCATCACCAGTAGTGAAGCCACCTACTCCGAGTGCCGAATCAAAGACCCGTGGAGTTAATACACCCCGTCGTGGCGATTCTTTCACGGATAGTAGCGTTATATTCCGTAACGCGGCTGAATCTACTGCTGTCCATCCCGCTGATCGCAAGTTGGACGATCTACAATGGTTTACAATGTGCGTAACGAAGCTTCTTCCGCCTGGTTTTCCAGGCGTTACTGTCAGGAAGCTGATTAGACTGGGGGACGTCCCAGTTAACGTACCAAACCCGCGACCGCGGCTACTTCGTGTGGTACTCTCTACCCCGGAGGAACGTAATGCTCTTATGCGGTTTGCGTTTAAGCTGAAAGGTACAAATATTAGCGTTCAGCCGGACGTTCCGCTAGCCGATAGGCTGAAGCTAAGGGAGGCCATCAAGGACTTCAAAAGCAGGCGAGCGGCCGGTGAACAAGGTCTCCGGTTAGTGGGTTTTCGGGTGGTCAGCCGGCGGTCCTTTTCCGCCCTACCAGTGCCAGTACTGGTAGCGCACGACCCAGGTCTGGATCTAACGAAAAACTTCAGATAGTGCTAAGTAATGTGCGCAGCCTAAGGAATAAGGTGTACGAGTTAGGTCTGCTTGTAGTTGGGTCTCCTCCCGATATACTCGCATTCACTGAAACGTGGCTGTCTCAGGACATCACGGATGATGAAGTACATCTATCTGGCTACGCACTATTTAGATGCGATCGCTCTGCTGGCCGACAGGGAGGGGGCGTCGCACTTTATGTGAGCTGTAAACTGGACGTTTTGAAGACTTGCTTATTTCAGTCAGCAGACAAAACTGTTGAAGCTCTATCGGCTGTTATTAGCACTTCCTCGGCTCAGGTTACAGTTGTAATTGTGTATAGAAGCCCTGGGAGCGTATCCAAAGTGGTACTTGAATTCATTCGCTCCCAGTCCGCAAATAAGTGTTCGGTGATGGGCGACTTCAACCTCCCAGAGATTTGCTGGGCAGATCTTTCTTGCGACTCAGCGTCAGGCACCTTTGGCGCTGATCTGCTTGAACTTACGCTCCAAGTATCTTTGCACCAGTTCATTGACCTCCCCACTAGGTACATGGACGCCCAAGTGCCGTCTATTTTGGACCTTGTATTCGCTAAGTCACTCGATTTTGTTGATGACATTACTTACGGACCTCCACTGGGTTCCAGTGATCATGTTTGTTTGCTCTGCAATTGTACTTTGTCTAGACGCTACCAGAGTACGGTTGAGTCTCGCCCGAACATATGGCAAGCAGACTATCAATCAATGAGAGCCAAGGCTGCTGGTTTCCATTGTGAGATCTCAGACGACGATACTGTCGAGGCTGCCTGGGATAAATTTAAGTCCTACCTCACAGAGGTCTCTGCTCCCTTCACACCAGTCACAAGGAGAAAGGAGGCCCGAGCACAGCCGCACTGGATAGATCCCACTGGCAGGCATCTGCTCACAAAGAGGTCTAGATGTTGGCGGACTTACCGAGATGCTCCGTCCACCGATACTTATGACAGGTACCGTAAAGCTAGAAATAGGTGTAAGCAACACCTAAGGGATGCTCGGCTCAATTTCGAGAAAGGGTTAGCGGACGAAGCTTCAGAGAATCCAAAAAGATTCTTCGCTTATGTCAAAAGGCGCTGCGCTTCGAACATGTCAATTCCAGTGTTGATGCGTGATGACGGTACTAATGCGCATATGGATTATGACAAGGCCTGCGTACTCAGTGGGCAATATGCGGCAGCGTTTGTAAGGGAAACCTCTTTGACAGGCGTTGAGCTGGTTTGCAGGACCCCAGAGCGTTCAGAACTTTCTGAATTTATTGTAGCGGAGACTGCAGTTCGTAGGCTGTTACAAGGGCTGAACCCTTCTAAGGCCTCTGGGCCTCATTTAATTCACCCGAAACTGTTGCATGAGTTGGCTGCGGAACTAAGTGGACCGCTCGCTATTTTGTCTCAGAAATCGCTTGACAGTTGTGCATTGCCTTCCGAATGGAAGGAAGCTGTCATCTGTCCCATCTTTAAACATGGAGACAGGGGTCTGCCTGCAAATTACAGGCCAGTTAGTCTGACGAGTGTAGTAGTCAAACTCCTCGAGAAACTGGTGAGAGGTTCATTGGAGAGCCATCTGAGTAGATTTAAGCTACTTAGCAATGTACAACACGGATTCCGGAAGGGATTTTCGTGTCTGACGAATCTGTTGGTAGCTCGCGAAAATTGGGCGGATGCAGTGGATAACGGCCACACACTGGACGTGCTTTTCATCGACTTTTCGAAGGCATTTGACAAGGTACCCCATTTGAGGCTCGCGCAAAAGTTGTCCTCCTACGGGGTATCTGGCCGCGCCCTTCATTGGGTGACGGCCTTCTTGGAGGGTAGAGAACATAGTGTACGGTTAGGCCGGGGTCTATCGTTTAGGCAATCTGTCCTTAGCGGCGTGCCGCAGGGCTCGGTCCTTGGACCGCTGTTGTTCTCTATCTATGTGAATGACCTACCCACGGAGCTTGAGGTACCATCGCTGCTATTTGCTGATGACCTGAAGCTGTGGAACCTTGTTGATGTTCCTGGGGGTTCCGAAGCTATTCAGCGAGCATTGGATAAGCTTTGGGACTGGTCTACTTCATGGTTACTGCCCATAAATCAGGCAAAGTGCTCCGTTCTTCGAATTGGAGGAGGTTGTCCTCCTGCGAAGTACTTGGTCGGTGGGGTCGAACTCCCCCGTGTATCTAACCAGCTTGACCTAGGCGTCGTACACTCTTCGGCTTTACACTCCGGCGACAACTGGAAGAAGGCCGCAAGCAGAGGTTTCCGCATGTTGTGGTTAATCCGACGTTCTTTCGGAGTCTTGACGGGCGGCATCTTTACGAGGCTGTTCTCGGCTTTCGTTCGCCCTCATCTGGAATACTGCGTCCAGGCTTGTCCACCCTGCCTCGTCCGGGACAAAATGGAGCTGGAGAGGGTTTTACGAGTGGGTACAAGGTTATTCGAGGGATTACGGGGACGGACGTACCCCGAGCGTCTACTTAGTTTGGGAAAGCATTCAATGCACCACCGTAGGCTTAGAGGAGACCTAATCCTAACCTACCGTATCTTGACTGGGAAGGTTGGTCCAGATTTATCTTGGCTATTCAGTCCCGCTCGATTGTCTGTTCTACGCGGTCATTCGTTAAAGCTGGACAAACCGCGGTCCGATCGGATTAGGGCGGAAATCCGGCTGTCACGCCGAGTTATCGACCGCTGGAACATGCTTCCGGAAAGTTTTATCAGGGAATCTACGGTTAAGGGGTTTGAGCGGCAACTTGACGCTCTTTGGTGGCAACACGAAACCTTCCCATTTTCCTGAGTAACTCGCATCTTCGTACTTCGATTTTCTTTTCTCTACTTTTCTTCACGTATTGGTATTATTTTCTTATTTAAGTGCACTTCAATATCCTGTACCTTCGTTTCTCTTCCTATCCTTTGCTTATTTCACGTGACTGCCAAAGCATGGACTGCTACGGCAGGAAACGTGGGCATTAACTGGTTGGCCAGGGTGCGATACGGGTGTTTCCGTTTTAGATCCATCAATAACTGAGCACTTCATCAATTCCTGGCTCAACGATCCACTCAAGATGGAACACTCACGGGATTCTCCCATCGTTCCAGTCCCCATCTGAACTGAACTAGACGTGACCTTAAAGCTGTAAATAGCAGCTCCCAGCATGTTTCGCAGCGTCAGCCATGGTATTAAAGTGCCTCTCAGATTCTTCTTTGGTTCCGGTTCCTCGCGATTTCTTGAGCCTGTGCTCAGCCTCCATACATCGTCGCAACAGTGTCCCAGCTCAAAAACATATTTTTGGTGAGTTTCAGCCGTCACTTTGCCTCGCTTTGACTAATAAATTGTGGCACAATTTACTCGTCACCTTATAGTTCTTGCTTGTGTGTGTTTAATTTGGTATGTATTCATTATCGTTCTTTTGCCTATAACTATCGGGAACGCTGACTTTTCAACCTGTATTGGCAGCTTGTGGTCTGATTATACGTATCCGGATGCTCATCTTGACGCGAATACGGGCGAAAATGGCCAGTTGTATCATCGTTATCTACTCAGAATAACTAACGTACCCTGTAAGATCAGTCCTTACCTTTTCTTACTGCCAGGTACCGTGACAGTACCACCGGACTGCCAACTGCGATTTCCGCTTTTGGCTTGAAATCAGTATGTGGAAAACAAAAGAACACATAGCAGTTAACAGTTTACTGAATATTGCGTAAACGATCAGGTATATGCACTAACATATGACAAAATTGCGAGTAGACGGCTACGAGTATGAGTACATTTTGCGAGTTTTTCCAAGTGTCCGATATCGGAGTGGTATCGTTGTGTGGGAAACAAGGACATTAAAGTCCTAGAAAAAATGTGTCACGCAGATAGAAATACTGTACCCATAATTCATTCTCGCTATTGTGCCGTGTATCCTACATCAAAAATGCTGCTTTGTGACACTGCAAAATGGTTCCGTAGGTTTCTGTAGTATTAAATGCTGCCTACTCAATTGTTAGTAGACAGCAATCAGTAGGAAATGGGTTTAACAATCGACGAGAACCCTCTTTAGGAAGTGGTCATTTTTGTTCTCTCTGTCTGGTTTCTGCCAAGAATTCTCTTAATCCTAGCTTTTTTGGCAGAAATCGGACGGAAATCAGTCACAGCAGACACTCGTACTACCAGGGGTAGCTCGTCTTCGTCAATGGAACTCTTCATAGATTAACGCTTGTTAACCACAGTCCTGAAACCATTATATCTCAATTTTCCTACAAATCGTTAATTCTTTTTATTGTTTTATGATACCTCTTGTTGACCGGCCATTTCTGCACCATTCAATGGTTGGATTATTTTTTTGTTTTTGCCCCCATCGGTTTTCGGCATGTTTTCCGCCTTATGCGTCCTTTGTGACAACCGACAAGATGCACCGTAGCGTATTTGGAACAGGGATATGGACCTTAACATAGTGCAACGGTTAACGTGCTCCTTTGACCCATTGAGCTATACTGGCTGGTGGCCCTGGGCCTCTTGTGAACTACTCCTACCAGGTTGGTCAACGGTTAGAGGTCAGCTGTGAATAACAACCCGAGCTATTAAGCGGAAACTAAAGCAGAGCCCACGTGCTGACAAGGAAGCCTAGTGGACCAATAGGGCTCAAGAAATGGAGGAGGCAGGAGCAGTAGGCAATTACCGCAAGCTCTTCCAGCTAATCTGCACCACTGGTCCCAGAAAACCAGGCTTCAGTGACGCAATCAAAGACAGCGCGGGTGCGCTGATACACAATAAGGTGCGCCGTATGACTCGTTGGGCTAAACACTTTCAAGATCAGTTCAGTTGGCCCTCTGCTCCCGGACCTCTTCTTACTCAGATGTGGCAGGACGAGCCATGGACGGCTAGTTTAGGGCCTCCGTCGGAGGCCGAGGTCCGAAACGCGATCACAGCCCTTAATCGTTTTCGTGCCGCTGGCCCGGATTCTCTCCCACCTGCACTATTTAAGGATGGAGGTGAGGTCCTCTGCAAGTATTGACCTTCGAATGTATTTGGAAGGAAGTGTCCCGACTAATTGGAGCGAATCGATTATAGTGGCAATATACAAGAAGAGCAGTCGCATAGACTGTTCTAACCACAGGGGGATGAGCCTAACGCCAGTTGTGACAAAATTACTGGCCTCGATTCTCGTTCGTCCCCTCACTGCGGAACGGGAATCTCAGATTAGGGAAGAGCAAACTGGTTTCCGCCCAGGACATGGCTGTATAGACCATATATTCGCTTTGCCGCAGACCGACAATAGCTGTGTTCCTCGATTTCAAGAGTGCGTTTGATTCAGTCGATCGATCGGTTCTGTACGAAATACTTGCGCGGAAAGGTGTTCCCACGAAATATGTGAACACCCTTCGTGCTCTATATTCGAACACTACATGCCGCTTCAGGGTCTACGGTGTCCTATCGGATAGCTTTCCGACAACAAGTTGCGTACGTCAGGGTTGTCCGATTTCCCCATTTCTGTTCACTTTCGTAGTGGATTCTATCATGGAGTGTTCCCTTGCGGAATCCCACGCTTTTGCCGTTGAAGTGCTGCCTGGTGGAAGGTTAGTTGATATAGATTATGCGGACGATATCGTCTTGCTTTTCGACGATGTTGGGACGGCACAATCAACCCTGAATAGCCTGTCCAGAGTGGTCCCATTATTTGTTATGCACTTCGCACCTTCAAAGTGCAACGTGTTGTTGCAGGACCATCAGCCACTTGATGACCCCCTGACGCTTGCTAACGAGGAACTCGAGGTGGTTGATCATTTCACTTAAATTGGCAGCTGCATCAGCAATGTTGGGCACATAGTAACTGACGTCAGCTCACGTATTGCAAAAGCCAGAGCTACCTCCTTGAACCTGCGGCATGTTTGGCGACAGAAGGGAGTTTCCCTTCGTCTGAAAGGCCGGGTATACAAGGCCACATTGAGGGCCGTTCTGCTCTATAATAGTGAGACAGCCCCTTCGGTCGGAAGATCTGCGGCGCCTTCAAGTCTTTGATCATTGTTGTTTGCGAAGCACTGCTGGTGTCGGACGGCACCAGCGTGTTTTCAACGATGATGTGCGTAGGCGAGTACTAGGTAGTGATAATCATGCTAGCTCCCTAGAACAACAGATAGCACTGAATAAGTTGCGTTGGCTCGGGCACGTGCTACGTATGCCTGATCACCGCTTACCTAAGTGGGCCTTGTTTAGTCTGCCAGGTGTAGGGTGGCGCATAGCTCAAGGTGGACAGAAGTTGACTTGGCAGCGGGAAATGAAGTCACTGACGACCAAACTGGGTGCCGTTGGTGCGTCTCGCCTTCCGGGCTAGAGTCCGCGTGACTCGCCTTGTGCTTGGCTCAAGACTTTACAGGACATGGCTCGCAACCGACACCAGTGGCGCGTCTGCTGCCGTCTCCTAATCGGATTGTCTGTTTAAAATATGTTTAGTGCTGAGTTATCTGCGGGGTAATGGCTGATTATGACGCGTGGCAGTGAAAGCCGTAAGGAAGCTGTTTCGCCGATGCCGCCTTATCTTTGCACGATAGCCAGCTGTTTGTGACGGTATGTTGTTAACACAAGGTGTAGGCGCCTTATCTCTGAATGTTTGCTTAGGGCATCAAGGTTTTCAGGTAATTCCGCCTTCTCTCCCTCTTATTCTTTATTTTGTATTTCCTCATGATTGTATGGCAGCAAAGCATGAGTTCAAATGGCTGATGTACTGCTGTTGATGATGAGCAAAAATTAGAGGTAGGAGGTAGCGAACAAGCTTGTTTTCATTGGATCATCCTCACGCCAGTACAACCACAACTCATTCTCCTGGTCTTCCATGTTGGAGATTTGACATGAGATGGCGTCCATTTCCGTAAAACTAAATCACTGTCACCTCCGCGCTTCCTTGCGGACAGGATTTTGATCCAAAGACTTGTTGAGGACGCAAATCATCCTCCTATCTAGGTCTGGGCGCCCTGGCAGTATCGGCCCACATAAAACAATGAAAATTTCTCCAAACTCTAACTACATCCTCCATCGGCCGTCGCGCAGTTTATCAAGGGTCTCCTTATCTTCCGCATACAACAGTGCAGATTAGTAAAAACATGCTACTGCTGGCGTCTTCCTTCTTTATTTTCCACCTGTTTCTTGTACTCTCATTACTAACTATTTTTCTATACCTTCCAACTTAACTGACGGCAACTGAATTATCACTGGAGTCACGGCATCTGCAGCCACCTTTCCGACACACCCACCGGTCGTCTAACGGCAGCTGTCCCTTGTAAGGTCACATTGTCCCGCTTCCATGGCGGCGGTCAACCTTCGCCCTTTAAGACAAATAGACCAACAGGATGCACTCACGCACGTTGGACACACTGGATATTGAAGTGTGTTGTGTATCCGAAACTAGGCTCCGTGATCCTGATGGGATTGTTGAATTAACTGCTCCCGGCTTGTTCTCACGCTATTAGTTGCATGCATCCGGAGACGGTAATGCAGCACTCACGGGTCAAGCTGGGGTAGGCATGATTCTCAGCTCCAAGGCTGAGCCATCGTTGGTTGATTGTATTCCGGTGAGCAGCGGTTTGTGTGTAGCCCGTTTGACTACATCAACTAGGATTGATTCACGAAGTAGTACAAAACACCGGTTGTTTGTGATTTCCGCTTATGCTCCCACCGACTGTATTTCTGATGCTGCCAAGGACATTCTATCACGAACTGAACGCGATACTACGCAGTGCCACTATTTCAGATATAGTACTTGCTGAGGATGTGAACGCACAACTAGCGCGTCAGCTTTTCAGTAGCTCAGCTAGGTGCTAATTATGGGCTTAACACTGGACGGACTGACAACGATGAGCATCCTTTGCAATTGTGTCCGGAGCACCAGTTGTTTCTTTGTAGCACCGCTTTTAGATACAATGGGCCCCGAAGTGCTACTTGGCGTTCTGTAGCTGGCCAGCGATGGACCCAAACTGCTCACATTGCTACATGCTTCAAGTGGCGTGGTTCCTTCCTGGATTGCCGCTCGTTTTGCAATACCTACATTGACTCGAATCATATTTTTTTACACTGTCGTTATTCCATGACCCTTACCGGGAGGCACACTAATCGTCTCCCCCGATTGGCAAATGAAAATCGTCTCTGCCCTCGATCAGGCAAGCCTGTCAACACGCACTGATCTCTTGTCCTAATAACACTGAGATTCAGTGGAATAGTATCTCGGCCGCCATGCGCGACACAGGAGCATCTTCTTGTGGCACTATCAATCGTCACCACACCATTCACTGGATACCCGGGAGGTCGGTGAA